AGCACTTGGGAAGCCAAGGCAGCCAGATCTCTGTAAGCCTGGTCTACAGAGCTAGTTCTAGGACAGCCAGGGCTACACAAAGAAATCCTGTCTCAAAAACCCAAAAGCAAAAAATAGTTAAGACAAAATTCATTTACTCCTTTACTCAGAGTAGCTGCCCAAGAGAGAGCCCGTGTGCACAAAGCCTGGGACTAGCGAGCATAGCCATCCCGTTTGAATATCCCTGACTGGAAACAACCCAGATGTCCATCAAGATGTGACTGGATACCCAAACTTCTTGGCGATGAATCAGGACATCACACTCTCCTGAGGTCAGCTCCCCGAGACCAAGGAGACAGAAGAGTTCATATTGGAGGACTTTTCACACGGAGGATTCTAGATAATACAAACTAAGCTGCAGTAAGAAAAAGCCACTCGGAGGTTGCGCTAGTGCACAGCTAAAATAAGCAGAAGAGAGAGCCTCAAGGGACCCTGGGAACAGGGTGGAGATGTAGTCATTGTTTCAGCATTGGGAGGTACACCCTTGTCAGGATATGTTTGAGCCCAGGCCTGGGACGGACGATGCATTGTGTGATTGGACAGCCCAGAAAGACTGTGAAGCTAACCAAAGCCCCTCTTAGCTTCTGTAGGCTCCACACCGCTGTCAACTGCCTGGTTTGCTCTGTCACCTCTTCCGCCACTTCCACCGATCCCCACTGTGCTCTGGTTTCTACCACATGAACCTTGGGACCTGTTCCTGCATAATATCTCTTTTCCTGGGCATGTATCCAAGGCCAAGGGTGGGTTGTACTGGTTTCTGGGGGGTGGGGGGGCAGCAGCATCTGGAGCAGTGTACCAAGCATCCCACAGTGTTCAAGAAAGCCCCTGATATGCTCTCCCTTCACCCAACTCCACCAAGAGTTCTCATCTTAAAACACCCACGGTGTGAGATGGAGGAGCCCCAGCCAAGAGGATGTGACTGTCTCCTCAGCCCTGGTGGGAGGGTGTGACTCTCTCCTCAACAAGCCATGTGCATTCTGCTGGCCTCAGCCCCTCCTGTCTCCCCAGCCCAATGTCCACAGAGGAAAAGTGTCCCTGCCTTGCCCCTTAACACGCTTGCAGCCCTGTCGCCACCTGCACGGCTAGTTTCGCCATTGCCAAATCTCTGTCCTCTGCCACCTGGTAAACTTCTCCACCTGTCCTGAGGTCCCCCTGTCCCCAGCTATAGCTATTCTGTGCCTTCCACTTCTACAGGATGTGGGGTCGCTTCCCAAAGTCAACCAGAGCTGTCTAAACTTTCTTTTTCTGGCTGATTCAACCTGTCTACGGCCCACGCTTGGCCCATCAAGTGTTGAAATGTGTTTCCTGGAAAGTCTCAGAGCTTGTGGCCATGTATATACTTCATGTACTTGGCACTGGGAAGAACACAGTAAACGTTACCAAGAAGGAAAACAGAAGGATCCATCTATACACAAACCAGGCCTATGTGAATATGTTCAGCGGTGCTACTGGGCCTTGGGTGGCCAACAAGGACTGTGTGGTAACTCCTTCTAAGCAGGCACACTGGGTTAAAAAACCAGACTCCGAGACAGAGTTGAAGCTGGGAGCCTCACCCAAGCATGGGTCATGCAACAGGCACCTCTGACTCAGGAGCCAAAGGCGGCAGGCCCAAACTTGCAAACATTAACATCAGTGTTCATGGTCTAGTAGGAACAAAGGAACACTGTTGAAACAAATCTTTGTTTGTTCATTTGGTTTTTGGTTCGGTTTTTCAAGACAGTGCTTGGTGATGGCCATGGCTGCATCCTTGAATGGCAGAGAACAAGATGGGGGAGGGCACTATGAAGCCCCCTCTCACAGGGATCTTGACTTCACTCTCAGGAGGGTACCTCCTGGTCTAATGGCCTCCCGAGGCTGATTTCTAAATACTGTTTACCTGCTACACCTGCACTTTAGAGTACACACACTCAAGTAATTTAAGTAAATTCTTTATTTTCAAATTTATCAAAAGCAGGGTTTGGGGCTAGAGAGGTGTCTCAGCAGTTATGAGTGCTTCCTGCTCTTACAGAGGGCCCAAATTCTATTCCCATCCCCAACATAGGACAGCTCATGCTCTCCTGCAACTTTAGCTCCAGGGATCTGATGCCCTCTGCTGGCCTCCACTGCCACTGCACTCATGTGCACCCACCCACCCACACAGACAAATACACACAGTTAAACATAAAAATAAAAAAAGAAAAGCAGGTTTTCTCATTCATTCATTCATTCATTCATTTACTTATTATGCAGCAATCTACTTGCATGTGTGCTTGTGCACCAGAAGAGGGCACCAGATCTCACTATCGATGGTTATGAGGCACCATGTGGTTGCTAGGATTGAACTCAGGACCTTTGGAAGAACAGCCAGTGCTCTTAACCTCTGAGCCATCTCTGCAGCCCAAGAACAGATTTTCTTAATTTTGTTTTGTTTTGTTTGTGTGTTTTGTTTTTCTGAGACAGGGTTTCTCTGTGTAGCCTTGGTAGTCCTGGACTCCTTTTGTATACCAGGCTGGCCTTGAACTCACAGCTCTCACCTGCCTCTCTTTCCCTTGGTGCTAGGATAAAAGATGTGATCCACCATACCTGGCTATAATTTATTTTTTATTTATATGCATTGGTATTCTGCCTGCTTCACATGTGTATGTCTGTGTGAGGGTGTCAGATCTTGGACCTACAGACAGTTGTGAGCTGCCATGTGGATGCTGGGGATTGAACCCAGATCCTCTGGAAGAGCATTCAGTGCTCCTAACCACTGAGCCATCTCTCCAGCCCTGGTTTCCTTGATCTTAAAGGCAATTATGTGAAAGAATCAAGATATCACACACACAGGCTCACACACACTGAAAGGCAGACCTAGCATCACTGAGAAAGATAGCATTCCATGTGGTCTCAAGAAACCAGGCACAGAAACTGGCAGTGAGGCAGCTGGGAATGTTCACAGAAACGTGAACAGAGAAACCGTCTGCCACAGTTAATACTAGAAAAAGCCAGCATGTTTTTAACCTTCTTGTTTCATGTAAAGTTAAAGGGTGTTTTAAAATAAAATTTTAGGATACGAATACTATATGAAATAGCATGTAAAAGGTTTACCTGGGCTGAGGATGCAGTGGAAGGAGCTAATTAAAGCACACAGCTCCGCATCCAATCCCCAGTGCCATCCACAGGCAACCGAGAGCCTCTCCTGTGCTGAAGGTACCATCTAGGTGACGCTAGGAGCTGTGCCCGTGCAGGATGAGAACTGGATGTCTGGGAGCAAAGGATCAGCCAGTGCTCACCACATCAGAACCAAAGGAAAGAGGGGCTGTCCCCTGTTCATGAATCCATGCCTCAGTTTTAAAAGTCACCAGCGAGTCATCAAGCATTTGAAACCTAGCAGAGACGCTGTGCAGGAGTGGAGCTATCAGAGGGGACAGAAGCCCTTCCTAGCGGAGCACTCACCCGGTGAAGCACTGTCCAGGGGCCTGCGTGCTTCAGTCACTAAAGATGGCCCACAGCCCGTGGCACAGGTCCTGTGCCAGCACCACCAGCATGAACACGGGCTGGGAGGGGAGCATGAGTGACCAGTCACCTGCCTGGTCAGTGAGTCTGAGGACCACCCAGGACCAAACTCAGCACAACCCTTCTCCTTGCCGTGGCCAAGTGCCTGACGGAACACCTCATTTTGGCTCAGGGTTCGGAGGGTCCGTCATGGCAGCCATCATAGTGTGACAGCTGGAGCAGGTCAGTCAGTGGCCATGGAGTTTTGAGACTTCCCTCGTTTAATAGCCTCCACAAACAGCGCCCCCATCTGGGGACCAAGTGTTTAAACACCTGAACCTGTGACTGAGACCTCACACCCAGATGGGGATGCCAGGCGGCAAGACTGCACTGTGCTAACCCAGCATAGCTGGAGCCAGGTGAGCAGGAAGGAGGAGGCCTCAGAGGACTTGGAGAATCAACCCCCCAGAAATGGAATCGTGGTCCCTCAGCTCTGAAGAGCACAGTTCACAAGGTAAAATTCACCCTTGAGTGTGGCAACTTTCTCTGGCTGCCCCCTGCCGGCTTCCCTGGGGTGCTGCTATTGCTGGATAGGCCACCTCCATTTGAGAAGTTTGGGATAACCCTTAGCAGGCCTGCTGCATCCTCTTTCCCCACCACAGCAAGGTTAGAAGTCAGAGTTCCAACTGCCTCCCAACACACCCTGGTTGTCAGCTGGCTGAGCTTGTCCCTCTGACTCAAGGACTGAGCAGCTGTCTTCTTCTCTACATCTGGATACCTCCAGAAAAACACTCATTCACCAGGACCGGGGCCAGGCTGCTTGTCTCTTCATGGTAAGGTGCCATTGACTCAGGTGAGTGCAGCCTCAGATATGAACGTTCCAGAACAGAGGAAGGAAGCGGTCAGGTAGCCCCATGATGGGCATGCTGCGCCCCACATGCTCAGGCGTCCCTAAGGCTTTCCCCTCTGACAAGGAGCACTGACAGAGCAGTGTGAGAACAAGCTCCCTAAGTATGTGAGTGCTGAGAGGCAGATGCCACACGGGGCTTTCCGCTGGTGGAGCCACTAAGCCACGCAGCCATACCTGAACAGAGTCCCGCTCCTGAAGGCAGCTGCCTGCAGGATTGGGTGGTGGCAAACGGTGTTCAAAGTCTCCTTCCCCCTTCTCAGTGGACTCTCCCTCCTCCCTCCTCTTCACAGACCTGGCCTCACCACCGGAAGGTGTGTTTCTAGCACAGGCCAGTCATAACCAGAACAGGACTTTGGATTTCTCAGTTTTGCTGGGACCTTTGTAGGTGCCATGGAGTTGAGTTCAGGATTTTCCACACACACAAAATACCCGACTATAGGGAGTTTTAGCTGTGTTAACGTTTACACGAATGCTTCACCCCTATGGCCAACAGCCAGAAGAAGGGCGTGCCCCAGCTTTGGGCGCCGGGCACATTTGTCCCTTCCAACTTAGATGTCATTTCTGATTCTCTATGGCCTCCCATCAAAGCAGTTACCTGTTGGTGAGGGCTTTGTGCTAGGCGACGTCTCGGGAGAGGCCGCTTCAAGCCCATGCAGTCAGTGTGGAGGTCTGTGGCCATGATCTGAGGAGCTACACCTGTAAATACAGAGGGCATGCTCAGCACAGGGCAGGCCCGGAGACAGTGGGGAGGAAATGGCCGAAGAGAGAGGCCCACAGGTGATGGGAAGAGCCCTCGGAGCAGCAGCCGTGCAGCTCAGGCACATCAGATATAGCCACGTGATTTCAATTACTGATCCCCAAAGCCACCTGGATACATGTGCCCAACACTTGAGGGCCACTCCGTCTCCCTGTCGATCCCCAAAGTTTCATTTGCCAGCAGCACTGGAAAGGCTCCACCTGAGCAGCAGTTCAAGGTCCTGCCCTAGGATCCACTATCTGGAAGGAGGAGGGGTGTGTCCTATCCAGGCCCTGTATCAGCTTCATCTACCTGACTCCTCACCACCACTTTATAGATGTTTCAACTATGCAGAAACTCAGACAGCAATTTTTGTTTTTCGGATTTATTAGGAACTAATTTTTCTCTGGAACATTCTGTTCCCTCCTGTTATACTCCAAGCATGGAGTTTCTCTCCATCCTGTATCTTCATGAAGGATGAAGAAGGAAGAAAGCAAACATGGAATACAGGTTGCAGGAGTGGGTATCTTTAGACAGCCTGGGAGGGAAGGAGCTTGGGAAGTGCCTGATAGGGTAGACTCTTGAGGAGCCCAGTGATGTCATCCTGACCATCCTCCTAGAGCCAGACGAACTGCCTGCTGGCCTGGGTTGTTTGTTTTTAAGCAGCCAGGACTGAGCACGGGACATCCACACAGAACACTGACAGGGAAGAAAAGTGGTTTGACATTGTCGTTCTTTGTCATTATAATGGGGTGGGAATTCATATAGTTACCCAGAATATTTAGGGATGTGCTAAAACGTATGTTTGATAGGGTCTTATGTAGCTCAGGCTGGCCTGTAATTCATTATCTAGCCCAGGATGTCCCTAACCTCCCCTCCCCATTCTCCTGTCTGTACCATCCCAATTCCTGCTTTTCTGTTAAGTAAACTTCTCTGCCAGCTGGGCTACAACCCAAGTCCCTGACATCTCTTTAATTGAATCTTCCCAAAAACTAGAGGGGAGAGCAATCTGGCATCAGCAGCTAGATTTAATTTTGCAAAAGACACCTCCTCTACCAGCTACCCAACTACCTACATCTGGCTAAAGCCAGGGCTACTGTAAACACCCTCACCTCCAGGCCTGCCACCCCAAGTCCCTAGAGAGACCATCAGGCCAGAGGTCCTTTCTGGGTCCACATAGTCGGGGTCCAGATTCCCCGAGAGCAGGTGTGTGCCCCTGCTTCGTCCTCCTCTCCCTCCTCCACATCCCACCCACCTCTCCACCAGGATATCAGCTGTGCCCACCCAGCGAGGCTGGGATCTTGTGGCTCCCACAGTCAGATTCAGGCAGACTCACCACCGGCTCCAAGCCACTCTGTTGTCACAACAAAGTAGCCCTGGTAATGAATGCAGGGCACCTGGTGTGTTCTGCCCACCCATTGCTCAGCCTCTGGCCCTGTGGCACTGGCTTTCTGGTTCTGGAGAGACTTGGGGTCTCCCAGCTACCCCCTTTTTTTTTTTTAATCTTTTCTTCTAAGTAAAGTTCCTTTTGGTGTTGGGATCAGGCTCTGGCTCACCATTGCTTGATAATAAGTCACACTCCTACCCCCCAGAAAGCTACTGCACATTGCACGCCGCTAACATCCCTTCCATGCCTAGTTAGGCCAACTGTGGAAATACAAGCAACGGGTGCGTCTATTCTTCTCCTTGAAAACATAGAGGAGGCAACCACTTTGAGTTTAGCTGCCTGCCAGGCAGAGCTGTCAACAGCCATGTTCCTGGGTCCAACCATTCCCCATCTTCAGTGTGCTGTGCTTGCAATGATCCCAGCTCCCTCAGGCTTTGAGGAACTCCTACTCACCCCAGAATTTTCCTCCACCAAGCACTGAGAAGAGAGTTCCCCCAGGAACCCAAGAGGGCTCAGGTTATTAAGGACATTCTTGCGGCTGGAGAGCCAGTAAGGGCCCCTTGCAGAGGCCCTGAAGTTTGTTCCTAGCTTCCACGAAGTGGCCCACAACTTCCTGTAACTCCAGCTCCAGGGTATCCAGTGCCTCCTTCTAGCCTCCCAGGCACCAGGCATGCACACAGCACACACACATACACACAGGCAAAACACACATACACGTAAAATAAAATATAGTTTTTAAGGAATATGCTCTCAGGCTTGGCTAGCTGGCCAGGATTCCAGGGTCATCTCAGGATACTTTGCTGGTCTGGTGCTCACCACTGAGCCACAGACTGTCCCTCTGGCTCTGCCTCCTAACAGGTACACACCTCATCAAGAGCGAGGGACTCCCTGCGTTTGTGCCTGTGCCTTCTGGAAGGCAAGGCCTGCCGGACTCTGATCTGCCTCACCTTACCTCACCCAGGCCCTCTTCTGGATTGGCTTGTGGCTCTGGCCCTCTAATCCCTTGTACTCTGCTAGTCCAGAATCCCCCAGTGTTTGATTGGACACTGTCTAAGTCTTTCCTTGGTCACCTAATTTAATCCTGCCCTGCCCCTACCCTGGCCCTGATGGTTGATCTGCTGTTTCTTCCCCCACTGAGCAAGCCATCTGATCTTATGCCATCCCCACGTCATTTACCAATTGTTGCCTCCTACACAGGAACATTAGCCCTGGGGCAGGGAGGCAGCCATTTCTCCAGCCAGCGCCTCAGTTACAGCTGTCACTGGGTAAGAGAACAGTGGATTCTACTGCCCCTTCTGCTCCCTTGTGCTGCCACAGCAGCTCCTCCCCACCCTTCCCCTCCACCCTCTGAGGCATCAGTCACTCACCACAGAGTGCACAAGCTGCCAATGGTAGCCTTGCGGCACACCCCTGGGAACCTCTGTGAGCACCTTCAGACCAGGAGATGGCTGGTTCGCTAGCTAGTTTTATGGCAACTCGGCACTGGTTATAGTCATCGGAGAGGAGGGAACCCCAACGGGGAAAACGGCTCCAGACCATGGGGCTGCAAGTAGACAAGCCTATTGGGTATTCTCAGTGCCTCCAGGTGCCAGACACCACACAGGCACCCCTAACCTCAGAGTCAACTCCCAGCCTCTTTTTGTTATTGTTATTGTTTTGTTTTGTTTTTGTTTGTTTGGTTCTGGTTTTGAGACAGCATTTCTTTGTGCATTTCTGGCTGTTCTCTAACTGACTCTGTAGACCAGGCTGGTCTCAGACTCAGAGATCCACTTATCTCTGCCTTCCAAGCGCTGGGACTAAAGGCATGCCCACCACTGCCTTGATCTCCAGCCTGTTTTTGTTTTTGAGGCAAGGTCCCGTGTGCCTCAACCTCTGTATACAGCCAAGGATGATCTTGAACCTCTGATCCTTCTCCATCTCCTGAGCACTGGGAATACAGGTGTGTGCCTTGCACCTGGCTGAGGGTTGCTGGGGTGGAACCAGGTGCTTTATGCTAGGTCAGTACTCTATACAGAGCTACCTCTCTTACCCCAGGTCTACTGCTGTTCTTAGAGTTTCTCTTGCTGCGATGAAACACCACGACCTGTTGTTGACAATAAAATGGTATGGACTAAATGTGTTTATTATTATCCCTATAGTTATTATGGTGGTATTATCTAACCTACTTTCACAATCAATAAAACACAGACACCTGGTAGATTTTACAACTGCCTTCCTCTACCTTGGGCAGAGCAGATAATTCTACCTATGCTCCCTCATATACCCTCAGCCTGCACCTCATTCCTAATTGGGCTGCCTCCCATCCGTAAGTCCATTAATACTTGCTTACCCTTCATCTGGATTGCTCCCTCCATCCACACCATTCTTGGAGTCCTTCCTTCTGGCCCACTGGTTTCTTTTCCATGCTAACCCATCTTGTCATCCTCCTCTCTCCTCTCTTCCCCTCAGTCTCCTTCCTCTCCCCAAACCCTCAAACTTTGGCCATGCCTACCCCATTCTGCCCTGCCCAGCTTTAGGCCTTTAATCAGCCAATCAGGAATACTTTCTTAGGCTAGGTTAAAGAGCAATACTTGGGGTAGATGACAGTTTGTTCATAAACAGTAAGAATCTCGGGGTCAAACAAATACAAAGCACCAGACCGTGCTCCAATAATGACCAAAAGGCGACTTGGGGAGGAAAAGGGTTTATTTGGCTTATACTTCAACATCACTACTCATCACTGAAGGAAGGCGGGACAGGAACTCAAGCAGGACAGGAATCTGGAGGCAGGAGTTTATGCAGAGACCATGGAGGGGTGCTGCTTACCAGCTTGCTCCTCACGGCTTACTCATCCTGCTTTCTTGTAGAACCCAGGACCACCACACACAATGAGCTGTGCCCTCCAGTGTCAATCACTAATTAAGGAAATGCCCTATACCTGGATCTGCTGGAGGCATTTTTTAATTGAGGATCCCTCTTTTCACATAAATATGGCTGTGTCAAGTTAACATAAAAGTAGCCCGTACAACTGACCCTTGTCAATTTGACACACAAACACACTGCTTTTTAATTAGGACCTTTCCTTTTTCATTTATCCCCAATATGGAGTGCTAATATTAATACCACAATATAAAAGACAAATAACTTTAAAAGTCCCACGCTCTTTACAAATTCGAACACATTAAAAGTTCAGTCGCTGGATTTAAAATATCCAATCTCTTTAACAATCCAAAATCTCTTTTAAAAGTTCAAAGTCTCTCAACTGTGGGTTCCTATAAAAATGAAAATTAAAGTAAGTACATTCTTCAAAAGGGAAGAACCAGGGCGCAGCCACAATCTGAACAAAGCAAAACCAAACTCCAAGTGTAATAACTCAATATCCAGTGTCTGGGATACACTCACAATCTCCTGGGCTCCTCCAAGGGTCTTGGATCGTTTCTCCAGGTCTGTCCTCCGAAGCACACACAGCCTGTCCTTTAGGCTCTGGGTGACTTCACTCCACTGCTGCTGCTGTTCTTGGTGGTCATCCCATGGCACTGACATCTCAAACTACTGGGGTTCCTTGCTGCAATTGGGGTGCACTTTCACCAATAGCCTCTCCTGGGATCTCTTCAGGGACTCCAGCCCTGCCACGCAGTGCCAAGCCTCAGCTGCTCTCCATGACCCCTTCACACCTTTAAAACCAGCACCACCTGGGTGACTCTTACATCACCAAGTTCAGCTGCCAGCACAAGCTATAACCTTGGCCACCTCTGGAACACAGCTTCTCTGTGTGACCCTGAGGAAACACTTCCCAGAATACTTCACCTCAGTGATGCTGCTCTCTTCTTAATCACCACTAATTGCAGGCAGGAGAGATAGCTCAGAGGTTAAGAGGTTATGAGCGATGCTCTTCCAGAGGTTCTGAGTTCAGTTCCCAGCAACCACATAGTGCCTCACAACCAACTGTAGTGGGATTTGGTGCCCTCTTCTGGCATGCAAGCAGAACACTGTATATGTAATTAATAAATAACTCTTAAAAAAAAATCACTGCTAATTTCTTAGCTCCAGTTGACAAGCATTGAGTATCCCAGCAAAGCAACGTTTTCACTTTGGTAGTTCTGGTGTCCTGTTAATCACAGATGATTCTCCAGCCCCAGGGGATCAGAACTGTACATTATTCACACAAAGGGCCCAGTAGAATCTTTGTTTCCCTCTACAACTTTACACGCCAGGCTGTTGTTGTCTACACTGCCCTCAACACTCTTACTCCCTGGATCCTACCTAACAGCTCACTGAACTCTCAACACTCAATGGCTTTTCTAGCCCGAAGTTCTTTCCCAATCCTCCCCAGAATGATATGGTCAGGTCTGTCATAGCAACACCCCACTATCCTGGTGCCAACTTGTCTCAGGGTTTCTCTGGCTGTGATGTAACATTATAACCACAAGCAAGCTGGGGAGAAAAAGGTTTATTCAGCTTACCCTTCCACATTGCTGTTCATCATTGAAGGAGGTCAGGACAGGACCTCAAACAGGGCACGAACCTGGAGGCAGGAGCTGATGCAGAGGCCATGGAGGAGTGTTGCTCCCACAATGCGCTGGGCCCACCCATATCAATCCTTAATTAAGAAAATGTCTTCTAGCCAGATTTTATGATGACATTTTCTCAACTGAGGCTCCCTTTTCTCTGCTGACTCCAGCTCATGTCAGTACGGTGGTTTTCAGTCCATCACTCTGCAGTTCAAAACTTCATCTTTCTTCGGCTCCTTGATTGCTTTTCCAGCCAGATCTCTACATACAACAGAGTGTGCGATGGACAGAAGGGACACCTGTGTATGATTTCTTCCTATGCTGGTGTGAGAGCCCACTCCACCCCCATCTGCAATTGTAACCTGCTGGATACTGTTTCCTTGAATCCCCTGGCACAAGTTCCTATCATTTGTGGGGCAGAAGCATGGTGTAGCTGAGAAGTTGCTAAGGCCTCAACCTAGCTAGACACACCCCTAAAATGTCTGACACGGTGACAGCTGCAGGAAACACAAGCCCCTGGGATCCTTTAGGTCTGAAAATGTGAGAACTCCTTGGTAGGTGCCACTACTCTCAGTGCCCACCCTTCTGTGGCAATCGGCGGCACTTGTGATGAGGAGATCACATGTAAGGGTCTCTTCGAATGACGCTTCCGCTGTCGCTGCTTCTCCACAGACCCCAGGCTGACACAGGAACGGGTGTGGTGAAAGGAAGCTTTGTCTGAAGTCGCTGTTCCTTCAGCGCCTCTCGTGTGTTTTGTTCCCTCCCGAGTGTGATGGCACCAAGGCAAGAGCATTCAGACAGGGGCAATTGTCTCAGAGCTCTTTAGCTTGATTGTCCCAGAGCTGCACATGTTGTGGTCAAGTGAGGCCTACAACCTGGGGCAGTGCCAGAGAATTAGACACCATGGGGACGGAGGACAGCAAAGATCATGCTATTGTGTCCCAGGCCCAGCCTCCACACTTGGGAGGCGGTGGCGACAGGGGGAAGCTAAGTGTCTGACTAACTGAGGACCCAGCAATGAGCCAGGTGGCGGGGCTCTGGCACTGCCTTCTGGTGTGCAGTCCACCTGGAAATATTGTGCCCTCCGTGGTTGTTCCCTTGCATCGCATCCTTTTCATGTTATCACGTGGTTGGCTTCACCCAAGTGTACCTTCTAGCAGCTCCCAAGAGTAAGGAGCCCAAGCCTTCATCATCATAGCTGAGTGGCCTCGTCACTCTGCTGTGACATAAGCAAGACAGTAGTCAATTTCTTTGAACAATCGTCTGCATTCGGATGGCACTGGCCTTCTGCCGTAAAGTGTGAGAGACAAGGATGTGGGGGGCTTGGTGGGGGTGCATTAGTGAGAGTACCCTGATGTCCCTTTGGGCATGTGATTTAGAGAAAGGGCAGGATGGTCACAGAAGGAAGATGTGACCTGACAGTCCCCACACTCACAGCAGACTCTCCCCTGAACTACTATCTGGGCCAAGGAATGGCATACAAATTGAGGGCAAGGGCTCGGGAATTAAGCCTGGTCCCCTTCTGCTGTATTATAAGGAGGTTATGGTGACCTGTCCCTCGGCATTAGGTCCTGTGGCGAAGAGACTCACTAAAGCCCAAACCTAACTGCATGTGGACTCCAGCAGGGGCGGAAGGTAGACGGTAGATGCCCAGACATGCCACATAAGCTCCTCTGCGGTGCACTGTGATTGATAAGTCAGGACTCCAGAACCAAAGAGGGTCAGAACTCTTGGGAGGCAAGTGACCG